GAAGGAAGAAAGAAAGAAAGAAAGAAAGAAAGAAAGAAAGAAAGAAAGAAAGAAAGAAAGAAAGAAAGAAAGAAAGAAAGAAAGAAAGAAAGAAAGAAATGCATGTTGCCTTTGAGAGAGAGTCTGGGTTAGATCTAGACCAGTTCTAGGCCTGATAACTGTTCCAGGCCTTGATCAATGTTTGCTACATTGAATAGATTTCCAAAATAGTAGCAGTTTTAAAGACTGGAAGCATGAGGCTGGGGGAGGTTATGTGGTTTGCCCAGTATCACGGGATTGGTAAGGGTCACAGCTGGATTCATGGCCGCTCCAACCAGTGGGTGGAGTCCTGGCTCTGACAGCCACTGTGACCCCGGCTCTGGCCCGGGGCTGGGCGAAGGCCCCTGTGCTGCAGGGAGTGGAGTCCAGGCTAGGCAGGCTTACCTCGCCGACTTTCAGGTTGCGACAAGGGGCGATCTTGGTGAGATCACCATGCTCCTCAAAGATTTTGGAGATACCCATGTAGGAGAGAGTCTTCTTCAGGTCGAAGGTGCCCGTCATGTGGAGTCTGGGCACAGACACATCTACGACCCTGGGGAATTGACACGACAAGGGTGAGTGGTCAAGTCCTGTTGTGTTGCAGGGCAGGCCTCAGGATACATGACGAATGAAATGTGTCCTCCCAGCCCCAAAGGTCTCCAATCTCTCTCCATCCACAGAATGAGGAGGGATTCCTTAACCCTGGGACCCTGGTTTCAAAACACTGTAAGCAATCTGAACAGCGTCCCTGCCTCCCAGCACACCTGCCCCAGAGCCCTCTACAAGGAGTGTTCTCAAGTCTCAAGTCCCCCTGTCTCAGAGCCCCTTCAGCCGCAGTCACTGACGATGTCCCCACTGTAGTCACTGCTGTGCCTGAAACCTGAGCCCATCCTGACCCTGGAATATCTGACGCTGAAGGGAACAGGGCATCCAGAATCTGGAGCTAGACAGAACTGGGTTCAAATCCACTCTGCCTCTCATGAGCTCTGTGACTTGGGGCAAATGACCTTCCCTCTCTAAGTCACTTATGTGAGAAGGAAGCTGATCATCATCTCTCCCACGGGACACTAGGGGTGCTAAGGCAAATGCAGGCAAGGTGCTCAGCAGACAGTCGGCACTTAGCAAGTGTCCATCCTCCTGCCCTCCAACTAGCAACTTCACATCCTCTGTAGCTGAACCGCGATCAGCCTCCTGCCCGGAGCCTGGGGCCAGGGTCTCCCGAGGTACCTGCAGACCCTGGACTCCTGCTCACCTGGCCCTGCACCCTATTTTCCCACCTACCCAAGGACCTCATTCCTGCTTATGTGTCCTCTCTCTCCTGCATCATCCTTCAACAGTGCCCCTTTGATCCTCCTCTGGAGAAGGCTGCACCCTATCCTCAAAAACTAATGCCAAGACATCTGTCTTGGCCCTGAATTGCCTTTCCAGCTTCCAGCTCATTTCTTTACTTCCCTTTGTAGCAGAGGTTGTCTCTGCTAGCTATCTCCACTCCCTCCCACGATTGCCTCAGTCCACTGCAGTCGGCTCTTTGACCTCAACTTTCTATGGAAGTAACTCTTTCCAGAGTCACCGTTGACATCCAGCCCCACATCCCAGAGTCAACTCTCAGTGAGCTGCACCTGCCAGTAATTTATTTCCCCAGGGTGAAGCGTTCCAAGTCCACCCTTGAGGCTTCTCCTCCTTCCCCACCACTCCTGCTCCTGTCTGGCTCCAGCCCACCTGTCTCTACCAGCTACGCTGCTGCTCCAAGACTCAGACCTTGGTCCCCTTCTCTTTTCCACATTCACTCCCTCCCCATGAATGGCATTCAGTCTCACAGCTTTGAGTATCATCCACAGACCCGACGACTCCCAAATTCACCTTTCCACTAATTCATTCACTCAACAAACATTTATTAAATGCCCACTGTATACCAGGTGCTGTTCTAGGTGCTGGAGATGCATCTATGAACAGAACAGGCAAAGATCCCTGCCCCTGACTGTGTGTTCTAGCAGGGAAAACGGGGGATAGAATCAACATAGCAAAAAGTACCACCTAAACCTACATACATGTACTGGTAGTATGCAGAAGGCAGTAAGTGCTATGGAAAAAAATAAATAGGTCAACTTGCAGAAATCAGGGATCAGTCCAAGGTTTGAGCAAACCTTGAGGCATGCAAGGGAATTAGACAAATTAGGATTTTTTTTTTTCCTGAATAAAATGGGCAGTCACTGTAGGGTTTTGAAGAGAGGAGTGACATAGTCTTGCTTAGGATTTAAAAAGATCATTCTGTCGCCTCTGTTAAGAATATACTCTTGGTGCTGGTGGTGTGTGTGAAGTAGGGATGCACAAAACTGATGCTGGGAGACCATTTGGAAGCTAGTGTGGTCGTCGGATGTTGGGAGCCATAGAGACAGTGGAAAGATACCAAATTCCAGATGTAGTTTGCTGTAGGCTAAAGGGGTTTCCTGACAGACGGAATGAGGCATTTGAGAGGGGTCAGGGTGACTCCAAGGTTTTTGGCTTGAACAACTAATAAGATGGAGTCACCATTGACTGAGATGGGCAGGCTTGGGGAGGCTCCCTGGGGACAGATCAGGACACCATTCTAGATGTGTTGACTCTAAGCTCCAATTACACATACAGGGGAGATTCTGGGTAAACAGAAAGATCCATGACTCTGGAGTTTGGGGGAGAACAGGGGCTGGGGCTAGAAGCATGGCAGTCGTGGTAATAGAGACGGTGTTTAAAGGTCTGAGCCTGTGCACTCACTCAGGAGTAAGTATAGACAGAAAAGAAGGCTGGGAATTGAGCCCTAAGACACTCACCTCTGAGACCTGGAGGAGGAGAGGAGTCTCCAGCAAAGGAGATTGAGGAGGGGAAAGGTGGGAGGTGCCGTGAGAGTGGAGAGCTTGAAGCCAAATGAAGAGCACCTTAAGGAGGTGGGGACACTAACCAGCCTAACAGCGAGGCCTGAGACTGACTGCACTCTGCAACACAGACACCCTTGAGACCCTGGGAATGGAGCTGTCTGTGAGAAGCAGGTGCAGAAGCTGGACTGGAGTGGATTTAGGAAAGGATGAGAGGAACTAGGGGCTGTGAACAGAGGCAACTGCTTCACGGTGTTCACCTGCAAAGGCGGAGTGACGAAATGGGGGAATAACTGGGGAAAAACAAGAGTCAAGAGAAACTTTTATGTTGGGAAAAACAAGAGCATTGGGATTTCCTGCAGGCCAGCACAAGCCGTACAGGTCGCTTGCACAGAAGGCAGACACCTGCTTTGTCTTCTTGCATAGAAGTCACTTCCATGAGCTGTAAGTTATCCCTGGCCCCCTACGAGGTTTCATGATGAGATGGAAGATAAGAGCATCTTTGTATCTGACGGAAATGATTCAGAAGAGAGAAAAACATATGCTGATGTAGGAAAGTGAGGAGAGGATTTCTAGGGTGATGTTCCTGAGTAGCAAAGGGGCCTAGGTCCAGTGCGTTAATGGGGAGATTTGCTTTCGTTTGTGCCAACATGGGAAGGCATTAAATGCAGCTGCTGCTGGCAGGTGAGTGCATATACCAATATGTACGGAAATGTGTGGGGTGCCCAGGCTGGGAGTGAACCCTCAACACTTCTGAACAGGACAATGGCTATTTCTAAACCACCAGCAGTTTTCTGCTCCTAAAGGTGGACCCTGGGAAATAGAGCTTTTCCTCTGGCGAAATCAGAGGAGCAGCACCTGGCCTCAAATTATGCAAATCCAAAGCAGGTGTCTGCCTCCTGCACAGAGGCCAGGTGAAAGTCATCCGAAGCCTAAATTCTGATATGTTCTACCCACATGTAAACTGGTGTGTGTCTGTTGACTTGGTTACTTCTTTTAGGGAAAAGGTGATTTTTCTGCTCAGGGTCTTCTCCCATCTGGAGGGGACTGCAGGAAGAACACATAGGGATATCCCGTCCACCCCATAGCGGACCACTGAGATGTTCGGACTACGCTTCTTACCTGTAGATCAAAGCAACTTGACCACTTATCTCCCAGAAATAATGAGCTCAGACAGTAGGAATATTTGCCTATCATGTTCTAACCAAATGTAATTCCTTGGGGACCGTGGGCAAAGCCCCCTGTCCTGCAAGAGGATTTGGAGTTTCTTCTTGGGAAGGTAGACATTTCCCTGCCTGTCATTCCAAGGCCAGAAGTGACTGGGTAGGCAGACATTCCTGGGTGAGAGGAACCTTCCTCTCTATGGCCCTCCTGGTAAGGAGGCCTGGCCTCAAGTCATGGAGATGCGGGAAGCAGTCCCAGAGGGATAGGGGAGGCAGAGCAGGCACTAGATAAATGGAAGGAGGTGCCCTGGAAGAGACACTGAGAGCAGCCTACACTTGGACTCTACAAGATGCCACTTCTAAGTAACTGCACTCTAAGTTATCCTGGGTTCCTGCAAGAGCTTTGGTTCTGTTATTCCCAAGCCTCCAGGAAGTCTGGCACCGGCCTACAGAAAATCTCGAAGGTTCTATTCCACTCTTGAGTAAAGGTGCAAAATGAGATGAAGCCTGAAGCCAGAGAGATGGTGGCAGTGCCCAGGGAACATCTCTGTGGGGTTGATGGTGGCCTGATGGTGGTCACAGCACCGGGGGCTGCAGAGGGCCTTGGTGAGGGGAATGTGAAGCCCCCAGTGCAGCACCTGAGCTGTAGCCCCATGGGGAAATCATCAGACATGGCTTGGAGATGGGACTGGAGTGCAGTCAGGATGGCAAGTTCCAGCAAATCAGCTGCAGGGTCTCAATGTAATTTGAGTCCTACAGGAAACGTCATATTCTGGAGTCCATGTCTCACAAAGCCAAGAGTGGAAGACCTGGCATTCCTCCCATTTCTCACCTTCTCTTCACCTTCTACAGCCCCGAATTCCTTAGGGGGATCTCCCAAGACATCCCTATGAACTCTAAAACTCTGTAGAGTGCAGGCTGAAACATGTCAGTCCCTTTGGGATGTCCCCATGTTGAGACAACATGGGGGAACCTGTGGATGGTAACTGAACTGAACTGATGTGACTCCTTTCACATGGAACATGGCCTTGGAGGCATTGCAGAATGCATCTGTGATATCTAGAGTGAGCTGCAGGCTCGAGAAAGGAAAATTCTGGTTCTGAATGCTTTCAATAAAGTCACATTTCTGGAAGAGGGGAGCTAAGTGCCAGGGCATTCCAAGAGCACTGCCATCCCTTGAGATCTGCACAGCTTCACCTGCCCTTCCCACTGGAAACATCTTCTTCAGTGGAGGAGCAGCCACCCTACAGCTTCAACTGTTGTGACACCACAGTTGACAACATCATTCTCCTCACAACTCACAGCTCTCTTTTACAGCCCGTGTTTGTCCTTGCAGTTTCCTTTGCTCCTCCCCCTTTCATACAGACTGCCACCCAACCTTGAAGACTTGGCTCAAATACTATATCCTCTGTGAAGTCCTCCCTGACCACCACCCTCCACTGAGACTCCATCTACTGTGCTTTCACAGTCTTGATGAATCTCCCTCAGAGTCAAGCACTTCACTCTATTCCTGTGATTTGTTCCTCAGTCTACTTCTCACCATGATATAAGTTTATTATAGAGCCCAGAAGAGGACTTGGCCATGAGGTAAGAGCTCAGAGAGAAGAAATAAGAGGGAAGACAGGAGAAGGAAAAAGCTTCGAGAGCTAGGCACCCACTTTACCTGCGTGACAGTAACGTTTTCCATCTGGAGAAAGTGTCCACCTGCAAGCCTTTCTCCAAGTGCTTCAGCTTGCCCTCATCAGGAAGGAGGAAGATGGCTGTGATATTTTTATGGTAGGGTATTTCCAGGATGGTGCAAGAGAGCTTATCATCATAGCCAACTTGGTACATGCCACTATGGAACATCATGGGCACCTTGACTGAACTGTTTTTCTCCAGAAAGAAATCTTCCTCTTTAGTTACATTTGGATCAAACTCATGTTGCCACCTGGCTTAGTTTGAAGAAAGACAAAATGACATGATTATCCCATGGGAAAAAAAGGTGACTAAATCCAACTAACCACTAGTCTCTGTCCACACGGATTCAGGGTGAAAGGGGATGTTCTGGGGTATCAGGGAAGTCCTTGCCCTCATTCCACGTCCTGGAGATTTCTGATGAGATGGGCTCAGGTGAAATTATTAGTTCCCAAAGAAGTCAGGACTAGACTGCTAAATTAAGAGGGGAAAAGCAGACTACCATAAGCCCAGGTTCCCCTAAGCCTGAGAAAGCCCACTGAGTATGTCCTAACAGAGGGGACTGCATTACAATTAATGATGGCTAATTGAGTCTGATGTGAGTAGAAATGCTTGATTCTAATCTGAGTCAGTCCTGAAGGAGCTGCTGTCATGTGGAAATAAGAAAACTGGTGAAACAGGCTGCCGTTGGGAGCTTGCCAAAGAGCAGTGAACACTGAAGCCCGGGTGCCTGGACTCTGAAGATGCCTTGACCTATTGGGCATAAACTCAGACCTGGGTCTTTCAAACTTGCCACCCGAGAGTCCTCATTGTAGGGCCAACTCCCTGAGTTCAAATCCTGGCCTTACTGTTCTATCTACCTGTCCAAAAGGTTATCAAGGGTTAACCTTGGATAAGTGTCTCAATCTCCCTGAACTTCAGTGTTCTTATTTGTAGAATGAGGATATTGACAGCTACCTCATAGGGATGCCTTGACATGTAGCGGGATAAGGCAGCACAGCTCAGTGCCTGTGTATAGTGAGGTTGAGTAGGTGCTAGTCGTCATCAGCATCGTTATTTTCACTGTTATTCCTATTGTTATCTAGGGGACATAGGGATTTCAGGAAATTCCATATTCTCCCTTTTCCTTCTCTGGTTTAGGCACATTGAGGTTTTAGACTGCCAGTGGTCACCGTTTTTCTTCCTTAGCCGTCAATCTGCCTGTGGATTTTGAGAACCCTCAATTTTTTATATTTAGTACCATGTTCCCGACACTCCAGCAGTGATTTTATCTGGACTGATGGGTGTTGGCCTCTGATTCTCACCTATTTTGGCCAACCCGTCTGTGTATATGTGTTCTGTGTGGTGTTGGGGGATAAAGCTGAAATTTGGAAACATTCTTCCGTCTTTTTTTTCTGTCTCTCTCCATCAGATCTGGGAAATACATAAAGTCTGATAAGGAGAATTCATATATATTATATATAAGAAGACCCACCAAGTGATCACCATCACCATAATCAACACAATCACCATCTCAGGTGTCTGCTTAAAGTGCTGGAAAGCACACGGTGCTAGAGCCAGGAGAAATGGGTTCCAGTCCTGACTCTCAATGATGGGCTTTGTAACTTGGAGTAAGTCAGTTAATCTCTCTCTGAATGTTTTTTCTCATCTAAGAGATGGGAACGAAATGTAATTCCGACCTCTATAACCAATGTTGTGTTAGGATAATCACTAATCATGAAAATGATAGACTTCATAAAGTTCATTTCACATACGTTTTCACTTTAAATCTTGATAATTGTATGATGAGTTATGTATCATGGTACCCATTTTACAGATGGGAAAAGTGAGGTTCTGAGAGATAAATGACATATGAATTCAAGGTCAAAGAGCAAACAGTGGCCAACCCAGGTTTTTAACCCAAGTCTAATGGTCATCCTATTCTTTCCACACCAACATGCCAAAAGCCTTACCTCGGAAGAAAATATAATTTGTAAGAAGCATCACAGTGCCAGGGTCTATATTCTCTATCAGGTTGTTAATTTTCCCATAGGTTTTATTACTGATAAAGTCATTGATCTGCTTCTGAGTAATTTTCAAATTCTGAAAGTTGGTAAGGATGGTTTCTGCACCGTAAAAGTTCTCGGCATCTTCCAAAAACTTACGCTGGGGCTGCAGCCCCCGGTCAATGAACAGCGTGTTCCCGATGCTCACTTTGAGGTCCTGGGTCTTCTGGTTCAGCTCGTGGATGATGTAATGGAAGCCCTCATGAAGATCTTTTTCTGGGATCTTTCTGAAGTTGAACCCCTGCTTGATCTCATCCAGGGTGCTGTCCTGGGCACCCAGGCACAGCAAGGAGAAAGCTGTAGAGATACTCAAGGGGGATAGCATGATATTCCTGCCAGGGCTGTTGGAGGCCAGCTTCTTGAGAAGCTTAAAGCCAAAATCCATGTTCTGCCTTGTAAGCTCCTTGGCTGCCTTCCTTTCCTTCCACCCTTGGGCCTGGCTCAAAGCTTTATAATTCCTTGGTGAGAAGCTCGGCTTCAGAAGACCTTTCACAGTGAGGAGAACAGCCAGAAAAATAGCCAGGCCCAGCGTGGGGTTCATTTTCCTTGAAGACTATCTTGTTGAGTAGTAGACCTGAGGTTAGCAGAAAAAAAGAACATGATAACCCCATCGCCCACAAGTTACCCAGAGGAAGACCAGATGAAAGAAGAAATACAGTGACTAGTATGTATTGTACATCGCAGTTTGTGAGTGCTTTGACCCGTTCATAGCGTTTAACCTTTGTAGTCACCCTGGGGACTAGAAATGACTTTCTACATTTTGTAAATAGGAGGACTGAATGTAGAAGACATCTCTTGTTTTTGTACCCTCTTTATGGAAACAGTGTCTCAATTCCTTTGAGGAACAGCTCTCCTCCCCTCCATTGGACCACAGTGAGGATACCCCGTAGTGTAGGCATGTGACCCAGACCTACTGTCATAATACTTCATTCCTTTGCCACACTGGCTGGTTAAAGACGAGAGTGTGGACCAAAATCAGACCAGTCAGTGTCTTTCTAAGGGAATGTAAAAGCCCCTAAACTTTGAGGCAGCTAACTTTGTGAAGTAGCCCTGAAGCTGAATGTGGCCATGGTTTCCACATGGAGGAGAGGAGAGTAATAGAGGGAGGTGGAAAGACAGAAATGGACTGACACATCCGATGACATCTTCGGAGACCCTGGACTAAGCTTTACCTCAATTTACTACCCACTTCCATGTTTCCAAGTTATAGAAGCCAATAAATTTCCCTTTTAGAGTTGGCTGGTTTGAGGTGAATTTTTTCCCCTTCAGCCAAAAGAATCATGACTAATTTGCAGAGATCAAGCCCTTTGTTTAAGCGCATATGTTCTCTAGGTGGCAGATACTCATACCAGAAGGACTTAGGTCTCCAGGAAACCTTCTTCCCTACGCCCTTCCCAGGGAGGGAAGGGGATGGCACCATGGGAGAGGAACAGCCAGGTCTGCCAGGCGCAGGACTGCTGCTCCTTTCACCCACCTCTCAGCTTTGACATCTTCCAACGGCACTGTGAGCTTCTGGGAGACAAGACTTTTAGTTACTCTTTGCCCTTAATCTCCAGTCCTAATGCTGCAGAGAGATGCCAAAAGCATGTTGGCCTAATTATTGATTTCTCTGGTTGGACATACTACTGTCAGTGATGGTTATACCAATTCATACGTAAAATGAAGGCAGATTTCTTTCCTTGGTCATCTGTTATATCATTTAGTCTGCTTTCTTCCTGTGATTTATATCTTGCGTGTCTGTAATTCATGGGTAAGGGTCAGCCTGTCCACAGTAAAGGCTATTCATGGTTGTCTTAGATTGGGTTCCCTAGAAGCAGAACCTGAGATGGGGATTTAGGTGCATGTTATGTATTGGGGCAGTTGTCTCAGCAGGAGCCTGTCGGGAAGTGAGGGAAGTGGGATGGAAAAGGGAAGGAGCCAAGGTGACATCTAGCCTTGGCCTGGTCCACAGTGGAAGGGCTCTCCAGGCTGGCCTTTTGGACAGAATCAGTCAGTTGGTGGCTGTGATCTGTCCTGTGGATGCAGGTCATGGTACATAACTGGGTCAGTTAGGTCTTATCAGCCAAGGACAATTTTCTGGAGAGGGGAAGGCCGCTGTGAGCTGTCAGCAGCCAACCCTCACAGCAGTACCAGCAAAGGGGAACTGGGTCAGCCACCAACAGGGTCTGCGCAGCTAAATTCCCATGCCTGGCTCTTTCTGTTTGACTGAATAAGCAGATGAATGAACACTAGGCAGGACCTGTACCTGGGAGTGTCCCCAGTTCCCAGGTTCTTCATGTCCAAATCCTTCTATGCCAAGCACTGTGGATAGAGCCTTGATCACAACAAAGGTCTTCAAGGAGTTTGTAGTATAGTATTGGAAAATTCTAGTGAATAATGCTCATTGCTCCCTCAGCATCCATTCTCCCAGCTTCCCAATAGATCATCCTCCTCCTTCTCCTCCTCTTCCCCCTCCTTCCCTTCTTCTCCTCTTATCCTCTCCTCCTCATCTTCTTTTTCTTTTTCTTATTTTCAGTAATATACTCTTCTCTCAGGCAGCCCATGTGCCTCAGGGACAGAAGCTCCTCCCTACTCCAGTGGAGGGCCTGATTGGTGCAGGGGCATCTCAACTCTCCTGCTACTGGTTGCTTCAGGAGCCAGACCTAATCCAATCATTGCAGGTGGGAATTTCTGCCCTGATACTTGTTTAGGGAGGGGCATGTGGCTTAAGAGGTACAATGAGGGAGGATTTCAAGACTGTTTGTTGGAATGTTGGGGTACTGCCCTGTCTCTTTCCTGGGATATCTTGGGCAGGAAGGTATGGCAGGCAGGGACTAACAGCAACTTTGCCCCATGGGGGAAGTGACTCGAAAGCAAAGCCAGAGCACAAAGAGGATGCATCCAAGGGCTCTTAGGAGAAACCGGAGCTGGGGCCATGGAAAAAGCTGGCCCCAGAGCGCACCCTGCCTCTGGACCCCCAGTGACATTGAGTTACATCGTCATTTCCTTGAAGCCAAAAACATCCTCACAAATATGGACAGATACATTTTTTTTTTTTAAATGCCAGGACTATGAAGTAGGCAGGAGTTCTGTGCTCTGCTCTCATGCCTTCGTAGCTGTGTGACATTCCAGGAAGCACTTTCCCTCTCTGAACCTAGGTGCTCTCTAAGCACCTTCCACCCCCAAAAACTACTTTTTGGTAAAACTTAATAACAGCTGGTGATAAACAAGGGCTCTGTGGGCTGTCTGAAAACAGACTGTAGAAGAGAAATTAGTAAAATTCCCAAGGATGCTTCAGATAAACAAAAGAAAATAGAAAATGGGAAGGATTCCATCTCAGGGTTTAGGGGGCTGCATTGTTTACAAAGGCTGCCTGAATTAAAAACAGAAGCTTCTGCTATTCACAGTGGGCGCAAGTGCCCAGTGCCTAGGAGTGGAGAAGTTAAGTCATGTCCCTCCCTCAAGGAGCTGAGAAAACATTCTCAGCAGCAGGTTTCACAGCCATTTGACATGGAGGACGTTCAGCAGCCTGGCAGGAGCCTTGGGACGAGGCCGGGCAGGGCAGGGCCGGAGCAGGGAAGGAACCTGCAGAAAGCGCCATCCCGGGAACACTTTGTGGCACGCACAGCTTTACCGTGATGTTCAGTCGCTGTGCCCTCAAGTTTTCTCTACATTGCCAAGCTTCAGAAACAAGAACAGATTATGGAATTCCAGGTCTGGATAGCGGTTCTCCCCAACTTGTGTGTTTGTTAGGCGTTTCAAGGCAAGTCTCCTCACCCTTCAGGCTTACAGTATCTTCATCTATTAAATGAGGGGAAGGTGGTGATAATTTGGTTTCTTCCCCCATGAGATGCTGGTGATCAGGTGGTACTGCCACCACCGCCCCCCCAAGGGACACAGCCCACACCCTGGCCTGGCCAGGTCTCAGCACCCTCCCACCTTTGCATGCCTGTGTCACAACAGTCCCCACCAGGCCTCCTGCCCTGGCTCCCTGAGTGCCAACATCTGGCCTTTCTCCCCCAAACAGCCCACACCAGCCCAATTCTGGGCCTTTCCATCTATCATCATGGGCTTTAAACTGACCCAAATTTGTCAGTTGGGTTAGATACCTGAGTAGGCTAATTTTTAATTCCATCAATTAAAATAGCTGAGCAACCGGTTATTTCCCAATCAATTGATATGTTGCTCTCCTGAGTTGAGCAATTGTTTGTTGGCTTTTAGTTTGGAGTGTGTGTGTGTGTGTGTGTGTGCGCGCGTGTATCTGTGTGTGTTTGGCTGTCACTCAAAATAAATAAAGAGATAAAGCTAAAACAAAACCAAGAAAAAAAGAGAACAAGATAGAAACCGAACCCCATGGGGTACACATAGGACACATAAGGCTATAGTCAGTATTTCAAGTCTCTGACCATCCTACTCCCATGCTCCCTATTAATTTGGAAAAATAATTTCCTCCTCTTATGGCTAGATAAAATAGTGCCTCACTGACCCGGAAGTCATTCATCCTAAAGACAGATCCAAACCAGGTGGGAAGCGTCTGCACAGGTAGCACAGGCGGCTTAAGTCTACACGAGAGGGCGTGTAGCAGTGGGAGGGCACTGCTTCCACCTCCCACACCGTCCCAATGAGCCAACTGAAGCAACAGTGAACGATGACAGCAGACTCAACAATAATAATATTTCCAAATTTACAAAGTGCTTCCCCCATTATCACCACAGTTTGAAGAAACAATACCTAAACAGGGAGAACACACACAGGCTACAGAAGGTCTACTCAGCGCACAGTGGTTTGGAACCACAGTTTCCTTTAGAGAGACCTCCCCCTGTCCTTGGGCAGGTCACTCCTCTCCTGTTAGTTGACCACCCTCCCTCTCTTCCCTCAGGTGAAACTGACTGGCTAGAAAGAGTTGGTGTAATATCCTTCTTCAAGCCAATGAGACCAAAATGTTTAGAATACTTTGGACAAGTTCCCAAGTCTTGAGAACCAACAGAGTGAGCTTCAGGCAACCAATGTGTTCCCTGCTCATTGGGGAGATGCTTCCTACACTTGGCTGCATGCACCAGGCACCCCTTCCTGCCCCAGAAACCCCTTCCTGCCCCAGGAACCCCAGGCCCTCTGAGATGCCACCTTTCCTCAGAACCTTTTCAAAGCACCCCTTGGAGTGTGTAGCACTTGGGTAAACTCGGTGCCCTCCCTTGGGCTGAGAAATCTGGGGAATCCTTGCTAAAGATGTGCCTTAGCCCCCCAACAGAAGACCCTCACCAGAGCCCCATCTTGAAGAGCCACTCCAGGCCTGCTCTGTGGCTCACCTGTTTTAAAGGACTCATATTGTTTTTAGAAGAAATCACTCAATATACAGTAGAAATTAAATTACGATTTTTAAAAGCACATTTAGAACTAAGTGGTGGTAAGATATATCTTCTCTCCCCTGTTAGAAGTAAGAGAAGCCCCGTAAACAAACTCTGATGACCACAGCAAATATACTTTTTCCTCCTTCCTGGAAAGCAAAGAGTGGAGCACATGTCCCCATTCCACTTCTTAATTTGCCCTGTAGATTTCTGCCTTCATTCTTGAAG